AGGTCCAACAGTTTGTGTCTTATTTGCAAAATTACCTCCTCTATTCATATTCTCATATATTTTGCCTTCACCATTTTTAACACTTTAATTTGTAAGAGAAAGAACCTTCTCAGAGGAGAAAATATTTGCTTCACATGACTTATTTTTGACAGCCATGCTACAAAATAGTATGTATTTTATGGGGGTCATAGATTGCACAGCCATGCTGATTGTTAGCAATCACAGCATTGTTCTCAATATGCTTACAAATTGTTTGATTAATTATACAGTATGTTCTAAGATTTTCCCAGATGTTAATGTTAGGCTCAATGGCAATCAGTCTTGGCTCATCCTTTTTTCCCTCCTCCTTTTCCATTTGCCCATCTCCAATTCTCTTATCGAGTTGTCCCGGAATCCTCAGAGATAATTGACAGAGATCTGAAAGCTCTTAAGTTTCTTTAGAACTTGAGGGACTGAAGGCAGTCAAATCAGCTAGGAGATCCTTTGCAGTGTCCTTACTGAACTCTACCCTCTCCTATTTTGTTTGTTAATCACCTATATAACGGGTGTCAAACTCAATTTCATTGGGGGCCGCTTCATGATTGTATTTGACCTTGGGAAGCTGGGGTGGCATAGCCAGGGTGGGCGTAGCCAGCTCAATGTCACTCATGTCAGGGGCAACTCTGGCAGCCCAAGCACTCTGCTGCCAAAAACGGAGGTTCCCCCAAGCTCTGTTTTCACTGGCAGAGAGTTGCAGGAGGCTGTTACAGCCAAAAATGGAGCTTAGAAGGGCCACGTGCAACCCTACCAAGTTCCATTTTTGCTGGCAGAGGGTTGCAGGAGGCCATTACAGCCAAAAATGGAGCTTAGAAGGGCCACGTGCAACCCTACCAAGTTCCATTTTTGCTGGCAGAGGGTTGCAGGAGGCCATTACAGCCAAAAATGGAGCTTAGAAGGGCCACGTGCAACCCTACCAAGTTCCATTTTTGCTGGCAGAGGGACCACCAGCTGGTCCTTCATTGTTTCCAGGGCAGCCCCATAGACCAGATCTAAGCACCCCATGGGCCGGATCTGGACCATGGGCCTTGAGTTTGACACAGCTGATCTATATGACTTAATTTGACATTTTCTATGGCTACAAATGTGGTGGTAAAATAGGTGATGTCATTTTTGGGTGGGGGGAACTTGCTGGATTTTGCCTTTAGACAGCTCATTTTCTCCCTTCCTATCTTCATTTCTACATTTTTAAGATGAACCTTTGTAGACTTCTTGATGATTAATCCTTCCTTTGATTTCTAGGAAATTTCATTTTCAATCTTCTTTAGCTTCCGCTTCTTTATAAGATGCCTATTAAAAATGCTCTAGATATCTGCTAGAATTTATATTACTATTATTATTATTCGCAACAACAGAATTATATCACAGCGGCCAGTTGTTTCGCCGGATTTGGCATTTATTACTAGTCGGGCCCTACCCAGGGGCCTAGGACATCATAATGTATTTTCATAATATGCGTGCAGATCCAAGCAGTGTGGCTTTTTGCATTTGACTGATGGTGATTTTGTCAATTTTTAACTGTTTTAAATGTAATTCCAGTGCTTTTGGAATAGCACCCAGTGTGCCAATTACCACTGGAATTACCACTGCTGGTTTGTGCCATAATCATTGAATTTCAATTTTTAAGTCCTGGTATTTCGCGATTTTTTCATATTCCTCCTCGTCGACCCTGCTATCACCTGGTATTGGGATGTCTATGATTGTAACCTTATTTTTCTCAACCAGTGTGATGTCTGGTGTATTATGCACCAGTATTTTGTCGGTTTGTATGTGAAAATCCCACAAGATCTTGACAATCTGATTTTTGGTGACTTTTTCAGGCTTATGTTCCCACCAGTTTGTTGTTGTTTGATTATTATTATTTTTGCACAAATTCCAGTGGATTATTTGTGCTACTGAATTGTGCCGCAATTTATAATCAGTCTGCGTGTTTTTTTTACAGCAGCTGAGTATTATTATTACTATTATTAATAATAATTATTTAATAATTAATTATTATTATTAATAATAATTAATAATAATTAATTATTATTATAGTATTATTATTATTATAATTATTATGTTAATCTTTGGTGAGATTCACAGCCTTTAGGGCTGGTTGGTAGCTCTGCAGCTCAAGTCTTAACCAATGACCTAGGATCTGTTAAGGTAATGTCGGAGGATATAAGCTGTTCCAAGTAGGGTGGTTTTTTTGTAGAATCAGAATGTTCAAGTCTGATAAATTTAAAATTTCCAAATAGCCCTTTAGGTCTTGCTCCAAGGGCTCCAATTACAAATGGGGACAACACACGATTTCTTTTTCCACAGTCGCTCAACTTCAATTTGCAAGTACATATACCTTAATGCCTGATATATAATACTACATAACTTCCTCTCTTGTGTTGCTTGTTCCTCTCAAATCCACTGGTCTCTTCCAGGGAAGCTTCCCTGCTTATTATGCAATAAATTCAAACTGGCAAATTCAGGGCACGTCAAACACTCTGGATTGTTATCTTGCTAATGGCAATAAGAGTTTCCTGATTGTTATGCAGCAAACAGAATGAATATTGTTCAGATCTGTTTGTTGGCTTTTATTATTGAAGTAGGTATACAGCTACCTGTTAAGCAGTCAGTGCCTCCCTATTTGGGAAGAAGCAATTTTTTAAAAAAGGAAAACTAATTTTAGTAATTTTGTTTTTTTTTATAGGGAGGCTTGCAGAACACATTCTGTGTATACTGCTTCACGTTATTGGATCATCGCTGTTTAAATCCACTAACCTTCTGCATAATCATGAATTGGCATGCTGTGCAAACACTCAGAAATCATTTTCAAACCCAATTTGAGTGGCAGGGAGGATACATCGGAAAGAACCTGCCTGTTATAAAATGACTAATGAAATTTAGGCTTTTTATATGTCAGAGCTGTAAACAACTGTTTCTACCTAGTGTTCCCCCACCCACCCACCACCCACCCACCCAGCATTAGAGTAAAAGGAAACATACAATGTAGCGCAGGACAAGGAATGAATAGAGACTGTAAGGGCTTTTAACAATTGACTTTTCCACCATCATTTTCAAAAGATTCTGCCAGCTATTTACTTGTCAGCAAGTCAATTTGCTGTAATTTTCAGATGCTCCAAAAATTGTTTTTCATGTTACGATATTGATATAACAAATTATTAATGTGGGGCTTTCAGTGAAGTGGGGAAGCCTTCTTTCCTCCTTCTAATGCTGACTCCTCCCTCCCTCCCGTCCCCTACCCTTAATGAGACACAGCCTTACTTCCATTTCTGGCATCTGGGTAGCAATTTATCTTCTCAAAAACAAAGTCTCCCCCCCTCCCATCATCCTATGCTAAAAATTACATTAAGAATGTATTAAAGAAGCCTCGGATAAAGTGGACTTGACTATTCTCTATCAAGCAGTATATTAACATACTGATTAGTTGTTAGTCTTGCCAGTCTTGTAAAAAATTATGACAGGCCACACAGCAGGAAGCAAATGATCCTTAATACTTTATCCTTTGGGACACAATAAAATGCCTTTCACTTGCATACAAATAAAATATACATAAAGCTTGTCATACAAGATGGCAGAAGGATAAAACTACTTCAAACTGACTTTGCAATGTAATTATTGCAGACTTTTCTTGTCTTAGATATGATCTTGCTATAATTGCTGTAGCTATATATTTTCTATTTAAATCTACCAGTTTGCCTCTCTGTCTCTTTCTCTATCTGTCTGTCTGTCTGTCCACCCCCACTCTCTCTCACACACACACATAGAGACACACACACCAAAAAATTGCATCTGCTTTCCAAATAACATTTTTCTATATGTGGTTGAGGCTTTTTTTGAGAAAATCACCTTTTTATTGACTTCTACAGATTCAGTGAAGGCTAAATCATCCATTGCAGTGAGTGTCGATAGATTTTAAAACACCACAAAAAGCTCTAAATGCCTTTTTCTACCAATTATTTGTAGAACATTTAATTATTGGTCTGACCAGATATGTTATACCCCATGCAGTCACTCTAATGTGATGCACATGTACATATATAATGTAAGTACATATACAGTTTATACTGATATTCTTATTAGGGATACAGCAAAAGCTTACAAAACAATGTGCAAAGTTTTGCATACTCCAGAAATCCTCTTGAGACAAGATCAAAAAGTATGAAATCCAAGAATTAGGCCAGGAGGCATGCCCTTTAATGTCAATTCTAAATTGAAGACCATGGACTAGGATTATGTAAAGCCAACTTCAACAAACATTCATTTTAAGCAGCTTCATACAGTAAAAATGATGAAATGTTAGTACTTTGTTTTAATGCTTCATTAAATTCCATTTACTAGAAGAAACTTCTCGGCATGCATTGCACCCATGCAGAATCCTCTTCCAGCTGGTGGAGCTGCCAAGCAAGTGTTTTAGGAAATGCAAGAGGCTTAAAGAAACAAATTACTGTATATTGTATCCATGCCTCAGTAAGGTAAATCTGTGTGCCTAGACATGACCATGCTATATAGCTTTATTGTCCAACTGAACCGTATTATAAGTAGCAAATTTGCCATGGTTAGATTACACCTAGCATTTGGAAACAAAGAAACTTTGCTCTCTTATTTAAATACTTGTATACACATTCATTCAAGTTCAGAAAACACACACCAAAAAATCCATTTATCTCTAATCATCTGTTGCCTTACTGAAGCATGCAATCTTATTACCTGAAAAATAACAGAATAACAAAGAACAGTTACAGTTATATGTATGTATGTACTATAATTATGTGTGTGTGTCTAACTGCTTATTGCAACAATGTATTATAATCATTTTTTGCTATTATATGTTTTCACTCATTTTAAGCACTTGTATGCATGTATTTTTGTGTCTTGTTTCTGTTTTTTTTATCCCACTCATTTTTGTATAAATAACTCAAGACAATGAACATATATTCCTCCCTTCTCCTATTTTCCCACAATAGCAACATTGCAAGACTGGGTTGGACTCTGGAGTCGCTTGTGTCTCTTTGGGCCCTCTGCTTTGGCTCCCTGTTGGATGATCCCTCCTCTGGCTGGTCCGCCCCTTGCCCTCCCGGTCATTCCTTGCCTTGCCTGAAAAAGGTAAGAAAAATGGCGGGGAATGGAGAAGTGGTCGGGGCTGATTCTCCAGTGCCTCACTCTTGCTTGTGCTTCTTCCAACCCTTGTTGGTACTGGGCATGCATCGGTCACTTGGGAGGGGGAGAGAGATGTCAAAAGGGTTTTGTGGTCTGCATGTTTTTTAACAACCAGTTCTCTGCCCTAATGACCGGCTGAGTAGGTGTGGCTAGGGGGGGACATGTGACTGGGTGGGAGGGAGTGGTGTCAAGTTGGCCATGCCCAATCAGGTTTTGTGGCTCCCAGTGTTTTCTTTTCTGTGGGAAACAGGTCCAAATGGCTCTTTGAGTATTTAAGGTTGCAGACCCATGCACTAGACCAAATTGGCTCTCTCTTTTTCTTCTTTTTCTGTCATTATTTTAAATGCAATAAAGAAATTTAACCTGAAATAAAGCAAAATTAAAAAAAACATTTCATGCAAAATTCTCATTATTTTTACATTTTTCTTCTTTTCATGGGATTTTTTCTCCCATAAATGAAGTTTAATTCAGCAGCCCTAAATTCAAGACATATTTATTGTTTTGCTACAATATAGGCCCATCCTTTGTAAAGTATAGAGGAAATATGTGTTGATCACAAAAACCTATGGCTGACCAATGAGAAAAGGAGTCCTTGTGGATTTTACCCCACTAGTTGTTGCTAACTATGGGGGCAGCACTCATCTTTGTTTCAAGGCCTTTAAATAGACGTTGTCCAAAGACAGCTGCATGGTCATGTGGCCAGTTGGATGTCACAAAGTGCTGTTTGCTCCCCACTGAAGTGGTATCAATTTATCTACTCAGATTGTCTGCTTTTAAACTGCTAGGTAGACAGGAGCTGGGTGAAGATGGGGCTGAGTGGATGACACTCAGGTGTCGTACCTGGGCTGTCAGCTTTCCAGCCAATAAAGCCAGCATTTTAACCATGCTTCCCCATGCCATATAGATGTAAAAAGTCTCAAACAAAATAAGACTTGTGCAGATTGATTTTGTATAATTACAAGTAAGATTATTGTGTGTTCAGAAATGGAGGAACAATTAAATTCCCACAATGGATTGTTAAATGTTAAAATTTGCTGATAAAATGAACCAAAGGCAAAAACAAAACACTGAAACACTGAAAAATTTATATGGACTTTTTGCTAAAAGAAGAAAAAAAATCATATCATTTATGAGTTTGAGTATTTAAAAAGACGTAAACTCAGGGACGAATTTGTATAACATCTAAGTGGGAGGGAAGATTATAAGATTATAATTATTTGTTGAAGAGGTTGGAATTAATTATATTTCATAACTTCAGATTCCTTCTTTTCTTTTCTTGCACATTTTCTTTTTTCTCTTTTTCTTTAGATTTGTCCTTTATTTCCTATAAAATCCTTTACAAATATAAATAAAAAGTAAAGCTACAGTATTTTTCTCCCCTAAAAGAGCGTGGAAATGTTGGTGCATCTTATACACCAAATACAGTCATTTTTGGCCTCCCAAGGCCCTGCCCCTACATCCAATTTTTGTGAAAAACGGGCTGTTTTTGCAAAAACAGGGGTGTTTTTGTCTTCTCCCACCTCCTAGAAGCACTCTGCCAGTTTCAGCAGTGCTGGGAGAAAAGGGAAAAATGCTCCCTTTTTGGTGAAAAATGGTGGCATTTTTGCCTTACCCCAGCCCTCCTGCTCGGGGTGGGGGGCGCAGAGAGGACAAAAACTTTTTTCTTACTTACCTCTTTGAAATATTGGTGCGTCTTATACACCAGAGAGTCTTATAGTCTGAAAAATATGGTATATGTGACAGTTATGTATTGCTATATATTATTCTTGAAAAAATTCTAGAGAAGATCTGTATGCATAACAGAAAAGTTAGGAAGAAAGACATAGAAATATGATTACAAAGATAAAAAGAACAGAATAGCTCAAACTGTTGCAAAGTAAATTCCACTGTAATGTAAGAATACCAGTTATCTAGCATATGTACATTTATTCAAAAATAGGCTAATATATTGTCCTTAGGATTATGAATAAGGTATTTGCATTTGCTTAAAAAACATATCTTGTTTCAAACTCTGCCTACCTCACCTATTAGGGATTAGTTGCCCTTGGGAAAAGCTGGTGAATGCAATTGTTTATATTCTTGGATTATTGATAGCTTGTGTGATATTATAAAATTTTGCTAAACTGATTACTGTGGGCTGGAGCTTAAACTACCTTTACTGTAAGTTCTAACAGTGGCTTTAGTAGCCTTCTCTTTGCTGCTACTAAGCTAGAGACATCCCACAAGGTTTTTGAGTTCAGGTAAATGTAGATTAACCTGCCATTTTAAGGTCCAGTGGCATTGGTTGGATTGATTCACTTATTGATTATGTGCCATTGAGTTGCTTTCATCTCCTAGTGATGACATAAATAGATTTTTTTCCCCAACGATCAGTGCAAACAGTGTACTCATCAGCACTGTAACTCAATCCATCCAACCTGCTGCTCATTGTTCTCTTCTTCTCTTTCCTTCCACCTTTCTGAGACTACACCTTTTTTCAAAGATCGAGATATTTGCATCATGTGTCCAAAACTGGATAGTGTGAACATGGTCATTTGTGCCTCAAATGAAGACCCTGGGTTGATTTGTTCAATATTCATCAGTTTATTTTCTTGGTTGTCCATGATATTCTCAGGAGTCTTTTCCACAACAAAGCTCAAAGGCATCAATACTCTTCCTATCATGCTCCTTCAAAGTCTGGACGGTGGATTTTTTTTCTTTAAAATGGATTACCACCTAGGTATCACCTGCTATGGCTGAAAAAAGAGTCTATATGAAAATTGCATTCTCTCTTCAGGTGTCTCCCAGATTTTGAAAATGTAAATACATACTTATTGGCTATGCTGAGGATGAATTCTGGAAGCTGTGTTTCCAGCTGGAAGATACTTAATTTACACAGTTCTGCGATACAGAGACAAATATTCAAGTTTGATATAAGATAGCCCTGGCTTTATGAATCTTCTGCACATTAACATAGAGCTTCTTTCTTCCTGTAATTTTCCCATTCCCATTCTCATCCCCATGCCCAGAACAATATGTATCAGAATTACATTTTTATAATGCTTCTGGAATATGGTATATGGTAAAGCCCCTGCAGTTCTACAAATCTCTGCAATTATTGGGGTCTGTAAGATAACACTTTCTATTTTCCTATTCATGGGGATCATATCAAAAAGCAACATTCTTTCCCTGTCTTTCAAATTGCCCGAGCTGAGTCTTGGAGAAGTTCTGAAAACATGGCTTGAAAAGAAATACATCTTGAACTGCAATAACCCGCTTGGAAAATACTACATGTGTTTCAATCATTTGTTGGAATACTATATCCTGTTTTATGAGAAAGAAATAGACTTCTCATGAGAATGTTTAAAATGTCACTTAGGTTCAGTGTTGAGTTGGGTGCAGGTGGCCCTACAAAGCATTCATTCGAAGGATATGTGTTTATTCAGTTGTTGCGGAAAATGGAACTGATTGGCTGGACAACTAGTAAAATAAGCAATTGTGCTTTGATCTCCTTGATTCTTATTCTTTCTGAAGATGGAAAAGTGGTTTTCATTGTTTATTCCTTTTATTCTGCTTATTTTAATTTCTTAACATTCTCATGCAAGTGTTTGCCATCCTCTTTTTCTTTATAGCCATGAAGGCATCATGCTGGTACGAAATATCTCCCACCGCCCACCGTTTAGCTCTGCTATTTTACAGCTGCTTTGGATCAATGGAAATAAGAATTTGCTGACCCTGATTCTTCCTAGATTGCATTTCTTCTTAGGGACAAGAAATTTCTTGAAATAACATCACGAGAGGCATGAGTATTTATTTCTAAAATCATTTTAGTTGCTGGAAGGAACAGTCATTATGTTTACACTGGCAAATAATACCACATCAGTCTCTGTGGGTTTCTTTGGTTTTCAGAAAAGAATTCCAATCCTTACTTATCTGTACAACCGGGTTTTCTGTAAGGCATTGTGGGATGACTGCTTGATGAGATAAATTGCCTTAAATCAGCTGAGAGCCAAAACCTATTTTTTATTTGATTTATTTCTTAAATTCATATGCCACCAATCTTGCCAGAAGGCAACTCTATGCAGCTTACAACTAAGTAAAAGCAACAAGATAAAACAAGAAAATAATATAATAATAAATATTAACATTAAATTTTATTTAAAATTAACAAAAGAGTGGGTGTGAATCTCCTTTGGAAGGCACTATGTTTCAGAAATTAGGAGCCACAGTATACAAGGTTCTTCTCACGGACCATACCAGCCAGAATTCCTTAACTAATGATGTCCCTTCTGCGGTGTTAGTGGGACAGACCCATCCCCGTGGGGTAAGAGAGTTCCTAAGGTAACTTGACCCATGACATAATGGAGGGATTTAAAAGTGATAACCCAAACCTTGTGTGGATCTGGAAGCAATCTGAAATTAGACTATGAATTTGTCTAATGAAGTGTCCTATACATGAACTGTCCTATATATCATAAACTTGTCTGCTGCTGTCAAAAGCTATGGAAATCTTGGTACCAAAATAAACATAAGGCAATTATGGGAATATCTTGGAAGTCAGGGGATGTTTAGAATTTTGGGAGTGGTGGCAGAAGACTGCAATGGGTTGGACAATAAGATGCAAACATGATGTGCTAGTGGAGATACTCAATTTTTGAGAAGAGTCCTTTGACCAAGAAGAAAATATGTTTCTTTGTGTGTTACTGCCAATGGTGGGTTCCTACCGGTTCGGACAGACTCAACTGAACCGGTAATGGTATGGCAGCCTGGGTTGCTAGATCCGGCAGTGACCCAGGCCTCCACACCCCCAAACTGGCTCCCTGATCTCTTCTGCCATCACTGTTTTCAGTCAACTGTGCATGCGCAGCACGCACATGAGCAAAGTGAGCAAAACGCCCTCAGAGCAAACTAGTAGTAAACCAATTAGGAACCTACCACTTGTTACTGCTTGTTTTGGGCTTGCAACT